AGGCTAGCAACCTGAGCTTGGCCCCAGGGGATTGGGTGGGCTGGAGAGCCAGACAGCAATATCCATGCTGCTATTTTTAGCACGCCAGCAAAAGCCTCACTAGCATCAGTCTGTCTGCCTGCACCAGCTGCAGGGTCGACATATCCATATAGCGTTCAGGTACCACAGGCACAGTGCAAGAATATGAATAAAAAAGGAATGTTCATCCATATATCTCTAAGCGCTTTAGAAAGATGGATAAACATTGTTAACCCTATTTTATAGATGGGGAAAATGTGGCAGAGGCACATTAAGTGACTTGCCCAAGGTCATGTAAGTCACTGGTATAGCTGGGGTCGTATGGTCAGCAGGCTGTTTAAGAAGAGGTCAGCCCTCGCTGTCACCAGTCTAATTTCCCCCCAGGTCATAGGACTGGGAAATCCACAGAACATGTGACTGAAAGACAGGAAGAGTTTTCCTTTAATAGATGGCTCTTTAATCTAGCAGAAAAAGCCATAACAAGATCCAATGGCTGGAAATTGAAGCTAGACCAATTTAGATTGGAAATATTTTTTAAGAGAGTAACTAACCCTCGAAAGAACTTACTTTGGGACATGGTGGATTCTCCAACATTTGAAGTTTTATTTAAAGACTCATATTAGAAAAAGATATGCTAGAAGTTAAACAGAAGTTATGGCCTTGGTGCAAAAGTTACTGAATGAGGTTCTATGGCCATGATACAGAATAGGTCAGAGTAGATAATCATAATGTCCCTTTCTGTCCTTAAAATCTATGAAGTTCTGCCAAGGGCCAGCTTCACAGTCATGGGCTAGGACAATGGCAGAGTCAGAGAGGGAGCAGGAATGGAACCCTGCAAGGAGCTCAGCTGAAGAGGCCTGAGAATTGGCTAGGAAGCTGTGTTGAAAGAAGACGGGGAAAAAGTTAAGTAGAACAATCACTTCACAGGTTTGGAGCCCAGATTGGGAACAGAGGTCTCAGCCCCCCCGTTCCTCAATCACCACAACTTGATGATCACAACATCACAACTTGATGATCACCTGTTCTGTTCATTCCCTCTGGGGCACCTGGTATTGGCCACTGTCGGAAGACAGGATACCGGGCTAGATGGATAAGACTGGGTAAGCACTGGAATAAATTGCCTAGGGAGGTGGTGGAATCTCCATCATTGGAGATTTTTAAGAGCAGGTTAGATAAACACAGTCAGGAATGGTCTAGATAATACTTTGTCATGCCATGAGTGCAGGGGGGACTGGACTAAATGACCTCTCAAGGTCCCTTCCAGTCCTAGGATTCTATGGACCTTTGGTCTGACCCAGTATGGCCGTTCTTATGTACAGGGGGCAAACTGACTTCCCTGCCAGAAGAAGAAGGAAAGGACTGAGTCAGAGAATTGAGAGAGAGCGGGAAAAGAATTACTGAGGCCAGAAGGGGGCTAGCACACTGTATTGTTTACTGGAGCTTTTGGTTTGCCCCAGAAGACTTTTGGTTTGGCTGGAGGACCAATGCTCCCAACTCACCCAGCACTGTGATCATCTAGTCGGACCCCAATCTGTTAAAAGGAAACCGAGGCCACATTTACACTAGCGTGGATACTGTGGTACAGTTACAATGCTGCAGTTTTGCCACTGTAGCATTGTAAATGCTTGCTATGTTGACAGAGGAGGGGTTTCCATTGATAATAGGTGATGATAGGTAATCCACCTCTCAGAGATGCAAGAATTCTTCTGTCGACTTAGGTCAACCTAACTACATTGCACAGAGTGTGAAATTTTTCACAGCCCTAAGCAATGTAGTTATGTCAATCTAATTTTTAAGTGTAGACCTGGCCTGAGGCTAGCAGCACTGGATGTTGGCTGCATGTCACAGGGGATATTAAAACCCAAGTTTCCTGACTCCAGTCTGGTGCCCTATCCATTAGACCATACTGCCCTCCATATGTATAGTACATGTTCAGTTGTTACTGGTGGAACTCCACCATGTGCTAGGCACTATACCAACACAAGAAAGCATGGGTCATATCCCAAAGAACCTACACTCTACAATTTTATTTTTTACTTTTATTTTTTAATACATAAAGGAATACTATACATCCCCCAAAACAAGACACTGAGGAAAGAATAATTATTCTATTTTGGTTACCTTATTAATTATGCAACTCTGTTATGTCATAATTGTTGTTAAATACAATATAACAAACCCCATCGTAGAATCAGCATTCCATAACATACAAGTCAAATAATGTTACATAAATACTATGAAAAAGCTCAAGATTGAGTTAATAGGACAGATACATCACTTAATTACCAGTGGTAACAGGAATCACAATGGCAACAGTTATGAAAAACCATGTAGCAGTGAAAAATCTCTCTAAATATTTGGAGATCTCTCAATGTAAAGGAGAAATGCGGAGATTATACTGTATAACCTGAGATATTCCAGCTCAAACATTGGATTTTTCCAAGAATTCTAACCTGAATAAATATAACCTAGATGTACAACCCTAGTTAGAGTATCTTTTTCTCTGCACTAGCAGGCCCAAGGGCATAGACTGAATGACTTAAATGGGCTCACCTCCATGTTACATGAACATGCAAGTTCCACATTTGTATCTTGATGAGGTAATACAAAAGAAGCTTTGACCATTTCCCATGATTTTTAGATGCAACTGCTGCAGATAATAGACTTTTTAAAAGATTGACTTTTTTTGGTGCTTAAAAAGGCTTTCAAACCCTCATTTTTTATGACATTTATAAATGCATACTAAAGCTCTTATCACAGTTTAGCTGAAGAGGTTGGTTCCTATAGCTTCAACCATCTGGAATCATATCAAATATCTAATTTTTTTATCCATTTATCTAATCAGTTGACATCCACAGATCTGATTCAGGCTGTTTCCAATCTTCTCCCATTAACACCTTCAGGTTAAGTTGTTTGAAAAATTCCAAGCGATGGCTGTAAATAAAATGGGGGGAGGGGCGGGAAATTACTCAGGGTATGAGATTTGTTTCTTTACACTCAGAAGTTACAAATAAAAATGGTTGCATATCCATAAAAATAATTTAATATTTATTTTCCTGAGTTCTTGGACAGTGACATAACCGGTATTCTATTTATTTTCCATACTGTTTTGTGAGAACTAGATCTAATAAATTAGGAAAATATAGAGCTGTGTAAGACTTCAACAAATCTTGCACTGAAAATATGGGTCCAAAACCACAGCTACAGCCAACCAACACACAGCACACATTGGGTGTAAAGTTAGCTAGCATTAAGCTCACCTTTAAACTCCTGCACTCTTTGAGCTGCTGTGCACTGGGCCAGTTTCCAAACTTAAGTAAAAGCAGCCTGATGGCTGATCTAATGGACACTGGCTGCTAATGGAGGCTGAAACTGCAGTTGGTGAATCACTCCAGTAAAAAGGGAGACCCACTTCACCCCTTGCTTTCAACCACATCTTCCAGGTTAGCAGTAGAGAGGGAATCTGGTGTAGGACCCTAACTATTGGAGGATCACCGCTGTCACTGGAATGACCTTCTCCTTGCCTGTTATACTGGCTCTATGTCCAGAATCCACCAGTGATGTGACTTAAAGCTCAAGGTCTAGCCCAAAGACAGTACTTAGCCAAGTTTCTCCCTCCTTCCCCCGCCCCAAATAGGCAAGAATGAGAATGATGGGAACACCGCTTATTTCCATTAATAATTATTATTAATTTACTTTTAGAGCAATGGTGGGATGGGGGAAAACGGTTGGAGAACGTTAGTAAACATGAACAGGAGATTTGGAGGAAAAGGAAAAGAGGAAAACGACAGCAAAGGCAGAAAAAAAACCAGAGTGGAGTAAAATGAAGCTGGTATAAAGGGATGGGTACACAGGGCTTGAAATATCTTTCCCATTTACACAAGAATGAAATTAAAGCTATGCATAAAATCCTGATTAAAACCCTGTAAAAATCCTTGCTTGGTGCATCCCTTTGGGCCACTCTACTGGAGCATTAGAATACTAGATGTCTTCTTTCCATTACATATGCTGTAGTCATAAGTACCAGCCAGTAAATCATGTAATACAGCTCACACTATGCTAGTATCACGTAACTGTTAAAGGGAAAGATTTCCCCCCCCCCTTTTCAAATAACCTTTTCATCTTTCTTCATTTGATTTAATTCTTAAGAGTCAAAAATCAATAGTAAAGATGAATTACACAACAAAGCTGAAATTGCAATAAATAATCTATTTATATGCGGGATACTCCCCCATACAAAGGTTTGGGGAGAATTCACACAAATATTGTTAGATATTCCATAAATTCTTTCCTTCCCCCCATAAAATCCTTCTAGCACTCCCTTGTTTGCTGCAAAAGATAAGGCATTCTTCTTAAACAACACAAATATCAGAAGCCTTACTGCACAGAAGTAGCAATTAGTATTATAACCCAGTTCATCGTTGTCTGAGTTCACTTCATGGTCAGGGCAATAAATAGGCCCAAAATGGAATCCGGGTGAGGTCATGCTTGTCTCTTTTTCTTTTAATATTACAATCTCTTTCAACTGATTTAGTCAGTCCCCCTTTACTGCAATCAATTCCAAAATGAGAAACTAGGCTAGGGCTGTCATGAATAGTAGAGAACAAACAAAGCAGGTCCACTGGAGATGCAGATAGTAAGATTATTACTGGTTGGCATTTCAAAGGGTGTTCTAGGCAGGGAACCGTGGGACAATCAAATTGATCTTGTTGAGAAAGGTGATGAAACAGATGCCATTGGTGTTGAAAGCATCATTTGCTATGCACTTAAGGGATAGCAGTAAAAATCAACCTCTAATTACAGCTATCTGCCACAAAGCTCTTTACACACAGCAGAGTGCTTGTGAAACTGGTGCTTAGCAGCATAATTAAAGCACTAGGATGGTAGTCTTAAATTTCTAACTAAATGAACTCCATTTTACAAAATTTTCTCCAAGACTCCTATTATATATTGTGATGCAGATGAGATAATTCTCTACTTACAAATCCGGTTTCTGTCCTTTCTGTATTTCATGCTGAGGCACAGGGTAAAGTGCTTCATACGTTCTCTTTGCTTCTGATCCATGAATTGCAAATGCATTAAACTTGTCAGTGCATGGTGGAAAATAACTCCAAGGGAGATGAGCTCTGCCTTCCCATTTGGTCTCTGTTCTGGACACTTCAAATGTTAAAGCAAGTTCTTGCTATGTTAGAGCAATAAAAAAAGCAAAAGAAAGGCAGTTGTTTCTTATTTGAAAGATAAAGATCAACTAGATACTAAGAAAGGATGTTAGTTTTCCATACTTTTATGGAAAGCATTTTATCACTTACTTTCCATACTCTTCTTCTGCCAGAAAGCAACAGCAATAAATGTTGTCCATGGCTGACCATATTAAAATAGAGCAACAACGTTATTCAACTGAAGTAAACTATTAGTATACTCCTATATTCACATATGTAATGGGAACTCATACATATCTCAGGGCTGAAGTAGCTTCCACAACTGTTGTATTCCCTACCACACCTCCACACTTATGTGTGTCTGAGTGAACATTAGAAATGCTAATATAATGGCATTGAAAATATAAGGTGACATTTTAAAAACCAATAGAAAAGCACTGTACTTACGGACAGAGTTCAACTTCTAAGTACCGCTTAGTTGTCTCACTCAAGAAAAATGCTTCTACAACTGAAAACAAAGAAACAAACAAAAACCCCATGCATACTATCAATATAATATGGTAATTACTTATTCTGTTCCGCCTCTGAACTTCTCACTAAATAAAATATTTTATTCTCTATTTATGCAGAAATTTAGCCTACAATGTTCTAGAATTCCACTAATTGTACATATGCCATCAGCAGTTTCTAAGATATTCTGAATAATATGCCACAATCATAATTTAGAATGGCAATGCCTTTTTTTTTTTAATATAAAACAACTGTCACCATAAGGAGCTTTATAAAAAAAAGCAGCAATAAAGGGGTTATTTTGATTTTGCTTTGTTCTATCTAACCACCAGGTCTCAAGCTGGAGTCAACCAGAAAAAGATAGTTCTGCTAACTGATGTTAGCTGTCAACGGAACAAAAGTAGCAACAGCTCAGAAGCACTTCACTTTTGATGCCTAATGTGAGTGAAATTGGTTAAGACTTAGTGATTGTAATCAATTGCACTCACAGTAGACATCATAGGTAAAGCACTTAAGTGCAGGAACCTGGTGCTATGAATTTCCAATCTCCTGGCTTGAACATGAAATACAAAACAAAAAAAAGAAAGAAAAAGAAAAACAGAGGCATACACGTGCATGCACACAAAGATTAAGTGCACCCAGAGGCCTGTCATTAAGACCAGCTGAAGCAGGAATCCTTGGAGGAGGATACAAACAGCCAAAGAATAAAATGTTTGGACTGTAAAAGCCACTGGCTTTTCCGGAGGATGACTGACTCTGGAGAGAGAAGTAGTGTTCTAAGGCAGCAGGCATACTTGGAAGCAAGCTGTCCTTGTTGTATCACCCTTCAGGAGAAGTTGATGGGAAAGTGTATGATAAGGGAGAGGTATAATAAGGTATTCATGGCCTGAATACCGCACCACTTTCAGATTAGTAAAGAATTTTAAATATGAATCTTGAGGTCATTTATTGCAGTGTCAGAACAAAGTACAGTACTCACTCACCATGTACTTTTTCAGAGCAAGAAATAGAGGTTATTGATTTCGGCTATAGAAAGGAATAAATACAATTTACTATCTATTTATTAAATTATTTTGGTTGTATTTTGCATTAATCTTGACTTTTTAGACACAATTAATTTTGTGGGTAATAGGTGTTAACAACTTATTGGTAGATCGCTAGTATTAGTGCTTTGATAATCACAACAGAAGATGGAGCATTGCTGGAAACAACAGACTGACCCATTCACAACAGCACAACTGAAAAAGGAAAAAAGAATGACATACAGAAAAAAAAAGAAACAACAGTGCTGTTGTAAAAATAAATTTTGGGATAGGCATAATTTTGCACTGAAGATTACATGAACTAATAACATTTCTCTGTTTTTATATACTGTGTTTGTGATCAATTTTGTTTGACAGTAGCCTCCTGCAAATGTATTATCTCTCAAATAGATTCCCATCGGAAGAAGTTCAATAACTGATGATCTAAGTTACCAAAATTTGCCAGTTACTGGTTTAGAGTTTAAACTATTACTGGTTTAAATTCAGTTGTCTGTTTCTTTAAGGAAAAGTATAATCATCATTCATTAGGATTAACACAATTGCCACTCTATCTGTACATTTCTAAATATACACTCCCCCCCTCTCATCTTTAGAATGAGACATAAAAACTAAGCTCCTTACCATTACTTGTCATGACTCTATCCCTCTATACTTTTCCCTCTAAACTACACTCCATCCCTCTACACTTTTTAATAACAAAAATCAAATATTTTTTAATTAAACAAACCACATGTCTACACTTTTAACTTTAAAAAAAAAATCTTATTTAGGTATTTACACTCTGTTTGCCTCATATATTCATGCTGTTTCAATCAGATAACACATTCACTTCCTTTCCCAAACTAATGTGACTTGTTGTATGTGCTATTAAACAATTAACCACGACCCTTTGTTCCAGGGTTGACTGTATTTCTATAATGGGAGAATTGATTTACATATATACACACACACACAATGTAAAGTTTGTAAGTTGTTTAAGGACCTTTCTGAATGCAAGGTGTCATCATAAATAAGTAGTCATTATTAGTAGCGAAGTGTTTTCTTGAACGCTCAACATTCTTTCTTCCCTTAATATGCTAACTTTACAGTCTCACCAGACTTCGTCTTTAAGGGAACTGTACTGTGATCAAAGAATCACAATTTGTAACAAATAGATTTAATGTATCTGTCGGTTCAAGCTATATTAGCCTGGTGAAATAACTTGCCACAGGATTTAAAACAAAAAATAGATACGTCAACTACACAGGAACACTAATATCTACACTGGTACACAAATTAAGTATACTGCTCGAGGTATTACACAAGATTTTTGTTTGCAATAAAACATTTCCACTTACCCTCGTAGTCCCACAGTCCACTGAAAGGCTTTCCTGGCTCTCCAAGTGGTGCTGGAGGATCATTAAAGAAGGGAGCACTTACTTCCATCAGCAATCCTGCATTGCCTGACTTCAGCCTGACAGTTACTGGCTCATGACTCACTGGTAAACTGTCCCATGTGTGTTCAATTTTAAATTCCATCTAACTATTTTATAAACAAACTGGAAATGGAAGTATGTCAACAATTCCAGATTAGCCGAAAAGACTGTCCTGTTGGTATTGTCTAAAGGAAGAGAAAAAAAAATTTACAAAATTGTATGCAATGTTATTTTGTTATCCTAAGTATGAAACGCAAAGAAAGTTAGCACATGGGATAATTGATCTCTTTGTACCTGATCTTTCAGTTCTTTCTGATGAGGAAAATGCAAATGAATGTCAGTGGGACTTCTCCCATGAATAAGAGCTACAGGATGATGCCCTTTAAATGGAAGGACTAGCTTAAAGAAAATTGAGCAAAATTAAAATGAAAGACTGCACAGAGGCCATAAAATGGATTAATATTCTTGTCACAGCTTAATACAGTTAATTGCAAATTCTGCTTTTCACATACAAGGATTGATAAAATAAGCTTGGGTCATAGTACCTTAAAAACAGAGGTCAGATTCAGTCATCGCATACAAATGCAGCTCTGCTGAAGTCAAAGGAGTTGCACTAGTTTGCTGCAAAAAATAATTTAGCTAAATGAGTTTTATAATAAAAGCAAATTCTGCACACTGTTTAAAATTTTAGAAAAAGCAGCCAAGCTCAAATATTAAGATGGTCACAACATGCACTTAATTAAAAAAAAACTTATTCCTGGGCTATACACATAGTCCTGGAACCCTAAAATTCATCCTTTTCTGAAGGAAAAAAAGCAAGGAGATCTTGTTTTTTCAAAACAGGACCTCAGGGTTATTCAATGAAACTCACCCTGTAGTACAGGAACATATGATGTAATCCTGATCCCACATTCAAAACATCAATAAAATGACTGTGTGTGGAGGGTCCAATAGAAGGATTTGGAAACATGTGGGGCTAAGATATGTTTCTCTACCCCTCATCACACACACGCAGTCCATGGCTGCTTCTGGTACTGTAGTCTATTGGAGTGTCCATGGCCAACTATGTTCCCATATGCAGGGATTGTAGGCAAAAGATAGGTAATGTCCTGCCCCTCTGACCCATCACAACCACCTCCCCCACTCCCCGCCCCCCCCCATAGAGTGGATTGTCACAAAGCTGGCTCTTCAGTGCTCAGGTGGTTGCAAAATACTCTGCATGACAGCTGGTCCCCACCTGCAGGCCATGAATCGGGTGGTTCCACTTAGGCCTTTCTGTATAATAATATCTTAACATGAGAATTTTTTTTTTTAAATAAATGTCAGAAAATTTGAAAAACAACATTTTTAAAACAAATGCAAAACAAAATGTATGTACTTGTTGCTAGTTAATGCTTTCAGGAATCTTACACTTGCATAATTAAAATAAATAAAATTGCCAAGCGATTCATTTAGAATAAGATTCAATTACTTTTGTTATTTTGAAAATACAATCTCCCAAGTTAAGATTAAGAAATGGCAACTGTGCATGTGCACATAAACATTATCTTCCACAAATTGTCAAAGATGTTTACCAAAACAATCAACATCTATTCTACATTAGACCAAACTATAAATTTCCACTGCAAAATGCATCTTCACTGATTTGTGAATGTAAAAATCAATTTATTTCATGGCAAAGTAACATGTAATACCTATTTTGTAAACATCAAAATATAAGAAATTAAAATTATTAGAGAACAGTTGGCACTAAGGATTGCTCTGCTGTAAGCCAATAAAATGCAGGGATTTAAGAACCAAACCAACATTTCAACTCATTAAACCCATTGCTGAGTCTTTATTTTCATAGCAGCATGAATTAAGGACCATGCACTCAAGTAACTTTTCAGCTAAAAGGTAAACTGTAAAGCTGATACTTTTAAAGGTTATCTGCAAATAAACCACCATATTCTGCTACTGACTATTTACACACATCTTCAATGAAATTAATGCGGAGTGGGGTGGTTTAAAACAAAGAACCTTCTGTGAAGGAAGTGGAGATGTAATAATTTAAGAATAATATACGTTGACCTGGTTATTGGAATGTTTACTGTATGGATATATTGGTTAGTTTAGTAGTTGGGCTGTAATGAAAATAAGCAGCAAGGAAGAATAGCTCAATGTAAGCCACCTCTCAGCAAACACTTGAGGGTTTACTCCTGGGGGAATTCTGCACCACCGCGCATGCACAGAATTTACATCCCCTCACAGATTTCTTTGCTTCCCCACAGAAAACTGACTTTCTGATGGGGAAGCAATGGGAAGCCACAGGATCAGTCACGCAAGCCTCCCCAGCAGTATATTTCAGGTACCCCGGGCAGTCAGAAGAGAGGTAAATCACTGTGATGCAGGGGGCGGGACTGGGGAAAACCCGGCTGGTGGCTTCTACCCCGCGCCAGGCTCAGCTGCTAGTCCCAACTGGGCTGGGGAGAACGGGACTTCCTCTTCCCTTACACAGCATCTGGGGCTGGATCAGACCCACCCCCAGATTTCTCCCTCAGCTGCAGAAAGCTCTGCAAACTCCCCCCTCTCCCCAGCTTCCTGAACCCATTGCTCCTCAGCTTCAGGGGCAGGGATCCCTGTATAGGGAGCTGCTCCCTCATCTGCCCAACCCCTATGCATCCAGACCCTCTCATACCAAAAGCCTTCTGCCAAGCCTCACCTTCCCACACCCAGAACCCCCAGATGAGCCCCACTCCCCATGCACCTGGACCCCCGACTGAGCCCCCCACACCCAGACCTCCCTGCCAAGCTCTATACCCCCAAGCCTAGACCCCCCCTGCTGAGCCCCAAGCACTGTCACCTGGACCCCCCTGCAGAATCCCCTTACCATTCCACCCAGAACTCCCCAACAAGCCCCTGTGCATCCGGACCCCACACTGAGCTGCCCGTACCCAAATTGCCCCACACAGAACCCCCTCCCCCTCCACCCCTGGATCCCTTCACACTAAGCCCCTCCACACTTGGATCCTGCCTTGCTGAGCCAGCCTGTCTGCATCTGGCACAGAGGGGAAGGCACAAGTGATGTGTTTCTGGGACAGGCCCGGTCCTTGCGCTGTCAGGGTTGGGTGCAGCCTCACCGCTGAGTCCGTATCCCAGGGGCCAGCTGCACAGTGATCTCCCATCTCTGTGCAGCCAGCGACCTGTGCTCCTCAATGCCATGCTGGAGCCTCCACATTTATTTGACAAATAAAATTTGCAGAATTTTAAAATATTGTGCACAGAATTTTTATTTTTTTGGCGCAGAATGCCTTCAGGAGTAAGGGTTGTTATGGGGTAATGGCTCTGAGGAATCTGTCTTGACTTCCTGCGGAGCCTACTGAACTGTTTTTTGATGACAAAGGAAAAGTCTGGGAACTAACAAGAACAAAAGAACTCTGGTTAGATAAAAAGAGACTGGAGAGCTGTTAGAGACTGGAAAGTAGCTGGGGAGCTGTTAGGGGAAAGCAGACACCCCAAACCAGCTGGGGTGTCAAAAGAAATTCAGCCTGTCAAGGCCAACATGAAGGGATTGTAAGTCATTAGATATGCATGTAGACTGTGTTGGTTTATAATCCTTTTTCTCTAAATTATTTGCTCTATTAAAATAAACAATGATTTGGCTTTCTGGTCACCATATTTGCCTCTGTCACAGATTCCCAAAGGGAAGAACTCCACGTGTTGAACTCTGTTGGATCTGCTGGGAAAGCACAGTTGATATTACAGTCCAGGACCTGGTCTACCTTGGGTAAGAGTGGGAGAACTGTGGAATTCCAACCCAGGAGAGGTAAGGGCACAAGGCCTAACACCTGCGGGGATGCACTCAGAGAAACCAGAAAGAGAGGAAAGACGTAGCTAGCCCTGTACTCACGACGCCTTCCAACTACTCGGACACAATGGTAGTATAGGATATAATCTGAAATTCTGAAAACTTCATCCACTTCAACAATGTGTGCTGAATGCTCCATTAAGCAGCCTACTGCAGGAGGAATATTCTGCATGCTTTCTTTTATTCTTAAATACTAAAGGTCTATCCTTGTTGTGATGGGATAGCACCTGGTCAGCTGTGGCACTGCACTAAACACTATTCTAAAGAGCCACCAGACTCATCTGAACCCCTACAGACTAGTTTCTGTGAAGAAGCTTTCTATTTCTTATAATGTATAGTTATCAAGTTATAACATCTTGATCAAGTAGGCAGACAGCAAAGAATGTCCTCTGCCACTCTTTGTCATGGGAAACAGTACACTTCACCTGGTGTGGAGGGGGCAGAAAGGGTGTTTGCCCATGTAAGGGCATGTCATTGTCAGGCCCAAAATTAGAAAATTTCAAAAACTGTATCAGATTTTAACATTATAAACAGGAGAAAAACATTCATACTTGTGTAGAAGCATTAGGTCTTATATCCTTTTTAGGCTGCAGCCACTGGAGGGCAACATGCTCACACAAACAGGTGATGGGACAGTAACTTTTGTAACAGTAGTTAGCTTTTAGAGGACAACGTGATCATATACTCTAACCAGGAGTGAATTACATCCAGCAGACAGTTGAGGCACGTACATACTGGGTAAGGATAGCCACACATAATTAGTAAATTATCTGGATAGAGCAGAGCTGTTTTGCTGTGTACTGCACTGTGCAGTAATTCCACAAACCATTCCAAGCTCTCTGTGCAAAGTTCATGCATCTGAACAGTGATCCAGTTTTTAGAAGTAAATTCACTGGTTGCAACTAAGCCAGGGGAAAGCCAGTCAGCCTTAATATTATGGTCTTCGGATTGTGACTATTTAGAACATAAACTGACAACTGTTAGATACAGTCATGCTTTTAGCAGGTTTCCATTAAATAACATATTTACATTGAAATATTAATACAATAAATATATATTAATGCAGTATCACCTTTTCCTTTAAAAGAATAGAGCCTAGCTCAATAAAATAACTAGAGTGAGGATAACTAGGTAAAGATACTCATGAAATGTGGAGACGCTAAAATGTATTGTTCTTCTCTACATGGGAGAAAGATTTAAAACATGTTTGAAAATAATACTTATTTTTAAAAGCTCCCTTGGTCTTTGCAAACAAATAAGCAAATAAAGGGAACTCAAATATTGGGCCAATCACCTTAACAATGTCTCTTTAAATAATGTTTAAAAAAACAAAACAAATAAACAATTAATGTTCAATTCAATAAGATTTCATTGACATGAAAAGCTAGACTAATTCAGGATAGGGCCACAAACTGTGCGGGGCTTTATGGCTTGTTTCCTTTACTGTCAATTTCCGCTGTGGTGGCAGTTTGTTATGTAGCATGATCGCTCAAGCTGAAAAAAATAAAACTTAGTCAGCAAGGGCTAGAAAATGAGACCCAGGCACCAATTCTGCTAATACTTATGTATGTGAAATATGTGGCACTGTTCACATGCTTATGGTTAAGCACATACGTAAGTGTTTGCAGCACTGGGGCCTAAAGGAGAAGTAATAAGTAAAATGGTTCAGACCGTAGAAAAAGCAGAATTTAAAAGATTGCAGAAAAGTACTAGGCCAATGATTTCTTGGAAGGACAGCGGGAAGAAAAATAAATTCTAAAACAAAGCTAATGGAAGATCTTCTGTGGATAAATAAAACATACATTACCAAATGAACAAAATGGGGCAGGAATTAATGTCTAGTACATGAGATGATGCACCTTTTCATCTATACAGAACCGCAAAAGGGTTATATATTGTGGATAATCTTTTAGATGATTACTTTAATATTGAAAAAACTGTGTCTGAAAGATCTATCAGAAAAGGTCACTAATTGCATACATGAATCTTGAGACCTTGATCCTATAACTCCTTGTGCACTGAGCAGCAAGAGTATAAGGTGACTGTGCTTTGGAGACGTGTACACAGAGGATAGGTGTGGACATAACTAAGGCTGAGCAACTAGGGTTCGGATTCAGCTTCCACGGAAGTGAACAGAAAGATTCCCATTAACTTAAATGGGAGCTGGATGGGGCCCTATGTGTAATTCTCCACATTTAGTAAAAGTAAGCCCCAAGCCCACTGTGGACTTGTTCCCTTACTCTGAAGAGCTCAGGGTAAAAAAGGGCACAGAATGAGTGTGTCTCAGGATGTAAACAAAGCTTCATGCTCCCCGCCTGTATTAGACAGCTGTAATTTGGTGGTTATGCAGATCAGGATCTGATGCTTCCTTTGTCCTGCTCATCATTTTTACCTTGTGCCTACATGTACAACACACTGCACCCAGGGCCGGCTCCAGGCACCAGCTTCTCAAGAGCCGGCCCTGACTGCACCTGTACAATACAGGATCAAAACCTGTGTGTGTGCACATAACGTATATACTCATTCATAAACACTAGTAATAGTTTCTAAAAATAAAAATAGAATGTTGGTGCTATTATGGAGCTTTAGTGATGAGGCACTTTGGGTTTTCAGTCATTTATGTTCCATTATGTTTCTCCTCTCCCTCATTAGAAAAAATCTGGGGAAATCCAGAGATTATCCTTGCAGAAGACATAAAAACAACAATTTGTGAGAAGAAAAACAATAATGAAAAGATTTTCTTACCTCTTTGGTAGGTGGTTACAATTCCTGACAGCAGCAGGCACTGCTTCCCCTTAAGCATAAAACTTGACGGTAGTCTCAGAGGTTAAAATTATAGGAGAGCAAGTACTAGAAATAACAAGAAGAAATAATGCATCTTATTAAGATACTAGTAGCTGAAAGCCCATGCTCTTGCACAGGTGTAATTCATGTGTCTAAAAAAGCTGAAAATGGCTGATAACTTAAAAATTGGATGGCAACGGTCTGTGAATCCCAGTTAAGATTGAACCTGCTGACATTCTAAACAAAAAGAGCTCTCAACCATGCACATAACTGTTTCTATTGCTTCACTCAGGCATTCCAGCCTTCAGTGATGTTTGGGGCTATTGTGTGTGCTAGCTGCATTCTGTGTGAGCGGCTATGTTGACTTGTGTATGGACTGTGTTGTGCTGAGACAGTTATGTTAGTTTGTACGAATGGCAAATGAGGGGTGCATGCTGCATGAGAAGCTGTGTGTGTTTGGAGTTACCGTGTATGATGGTTGTGTTGTGCTTGCGTTGATTTGGGTCTAGGGGCATGTGATAGGGTATACAAACCCCAGACTAGTAAGGAAGGGATTAAGCAGCTGCACTAGGCCCAGGCACCCCCCGCCCCATTCCCCCAATACCACATCACACATGCAAAGCATACATGACTTGGAGGAGGAACTCAGAAGAACAGGCCAGCAGACAGTAGAGGTAAACTGTCTTACATTTCAAGCTCCTGGGAAGGAATACTGCAGGAACTCCTGATGCCTGAGGCCAGGCTGTAGGGACTTTGCCACGCCCAGAGAAAACCTGTGATGCTGTGAAGGTCTGAGACTTTACTTTTGATTTCAGTTCTCTTTTATATGGGCAACTTAAAAATCAACATTAAAGGTCACATCCAAGTTTGTCATGCACTCTACAGATTCCAGTTATTTAATGCAAATAACAAGTTATGTCAGTCTCTAAGGTGCCACAAGTACTCCTGTTCTTTTTGCAGATAGACTAACACGGCTGCTACACTGAAAATAGTTATTTAATGTCTTTACTTAATTTGTTGGGGGAGAAAGGGGACTGGTAGGAAGTGATCCAGGAAAACAACACTTTTGGGGGCAGGACTTACATCCTACCACCGGACCCCAAACCAGAACCTGAGGGAACCAAGGGGGCAGGCCACCACAGGGCTGGAGAGAGCATCAACACCAGGAAAAGAAGAGATTGTTATGCTCATCTTGGCCACAAAGACATCCATGGTGAGTGAGCTCCCTTGGGGAGGGCGGGGGGGGGGGGGGGCGGCGATTGGACGAGTCATCTCTGATATCACAATGATCTAGGACTCCAGGCATAGCATAGATACATGCCTTCCTGCAGTGATTCTCAAACAGGAGTACATGGGGACACACAGAGGTCTTCTGGGGGTACTCAACTCGTCTAGGTATTTGAATAGTTTTACAACAAACTACATGAAAAGGACTAGCTTAGTCAGTACAAACTAAAATTCCACACAACTTTTTTATACTGCTTTATGTACCATTCACTGAAATGTAAGTACAATATTAATATTTCAATTGATTTATTTTATAATTAAGTGGTAAAAATGAGAAAGTAAGCTATTTTTTAGTAATAATGTGCTGACACTTTTGTATTTTTAGGTTTGATTTTGTAAGCAAATAGGTTTTAAGTGAGGTGAAACTTGGGGGTACACAAGGCAAATTAGGCTCCTGAACGGGGTACAGTAGTCTGGAAAGGTTGAGAGCCACTGCCTTACTGTAGCTGTACACCACACGGGTGTAACTCAAAGTCAAAATGGCTGAAAACCTGAAAGTTTGGCATTAAGAGACTGTGAAACACAGTTACATTGAACCTGGTGATATTCTGAACAAAAGCTCTCAACCATGCTTGTAGCTGCTTTCATTGCTTCACACTGAGTCAACAAACATCCCAGGTTTAAGAGTAAAGGGTGACATTCCTGGAATCTTACACCATGTCTACACTTCAAAATTACGTCGACCTAACTTCTATCGGCATACAGCCTCCACAATTATTAAATCGCTTGTGTGTGTGTGCATACTTGGCTCTTTGTGTCAGTGGTGTGTGTCCTCAGCCTGGGGCATTGTGTGACAGCCAGTAACTGTCAACATAAGCAACCTAATTACATTGACCGTGACTCTATACCACTCTGGGAAGTGGTGTTACTAAATAGGCATATGACACTTCCACAACTAGGTCAATGCAAGGCAAGTTACGTCGACCTAAGCATATAGTTTAGACCAGGCCTTACTCCACAGATTCAATATTACTATAGGGAAAAAATGCATATAAAAGATGGCTGAAAAGACAGCTGCTAGTATGAGAGGTATGCAAAACACAGAGGGACAAATTCTCTTCTCAGATATGTGGATACAACTCCCATAGGGCCAAATTCAGATGTTATAAGCAGGTACAACTTTACTGATAATTTGGCCTATTGACTTAAGTGAGGTCTGTCTTCTGTACAGGAATGCAGAATTTTGCCTGTGCCTTCCTGCCATTTTCAGAACTCCATGCTCCACATTTGAAGAGTCTGGTAAAGGTCTTTGTAACATTAAAACATTAACTGCCTGACCTGAAGCCCTGATATGCACATTTTTTCTTGAATGTCCACAGATTTCCCTGCATAACAATTGCATGATCAAGCCTTAATGTGTGAGACAGCATATTGCAAATTGAGAGGAGCTGGTCACCATTCTATTCTTCAAGTGGAAGAAAACATTAACACCTAAATCTACATAGGTTGTTGCTTAAGAAACGGGTTAAAATAGTGACAGTACAAAGATATGTACTCCCCCAATAACTCTATGCTTGAGCATTTACTATAAGAAAACTCCAAAATGCTCACCAGTCAATTAAGATATGCAAATTCTGATTAAACGGGCTCTACAACAAAGGAACTTTCATAACCATGTGAAAAAACTTGTATAGCATAGCCTCAAGCTAACAATGTAAAACAATTAGCAGTGTTTGATTTATATACTCACAGCTCTTTGAGTGCATTAAATTACTTATTAAACATATAACTAAGCATGGAGCCAAAATTTACTGGTACTGGATTGTTTCTGCTATTGGCATCTCTACACACATCCCTTATAGTGCTAAAGAGAAATGGGATTTGGTGCTCACTATACCACATACTTTTTATAGTCAGAATAGATGCTCTAACAGTGACCAATACACATTTCTGGCTTATTTCAGGAATTCCCAACAAGGATAAAAATAAATTCCAGGAAAAAATAGTATATGACCACATAATTCAAAACTATAATGCATACACACAAAGGGACCAAATTAAGGTTGAACACAGAACTGTAAATCTGGTGTTTGACTTCTGAGTTCTTGACTTTGCAATCCTAATAATGTTCTTTTTACTAATTGTTAATGTAGTTTTCTAGGTTTAAAAAAAGAAAACCACAAAAAAAACAAATTCCATCATATGGATATCCACACGGGTCATCAGCAGAGTTGGCTCCACTGCACAGAGGAAGCGCTGTTTCATTACTGTGTAGACTTCCCGGCTCCAGCTGGAGCTCGATCTCTAGGACCCTGTCACTTTGCAGGGTCCCAGAGCTCAGCCTTCAGTCACAGCCCAAACAACTATCTACAGGGCAATTAACCAGCCTGCAAGCTGGAGTCATCTGGCATAGGCCAGCCACGGGGGAGTCTAGTTGCAGTGTCGACATACCCTCCCTGGACCAGCACTGGAGGGGCGCGGGATGGGTGAGACACGTGCTCTCCTGGTGGGTTTCAGAGATACTGACGCTCAGGCCTGCTGGGGTCCATTCCAGTCCCCAAAGGGGAACGGGTTCTACTGGGGAGCGACTCTCCTGCTGGTCTCCTCCGCCCTAGCCCGCTGGCCCCGCCCACCCATGTGTGCCCAGCTCCCAGCACAAGCTACAACGGCAGTTGTTGTTGTTGTTGTTGCTGCTGCTGCTCCCCTAAATGGATTTCACCTACCGCACTCCTCCGCACACTGGACAGGCGTGTTCGCCTACTTGTCTAGCCCTTCCTTACCCCACGTGGGAGAAAGAGGCGGACCGGCATGGTCATGCGGAAAGGACACCAATAAGAAACCGCTTTACACTTACCTGGGATTCCGATTGGTGGATTGATTTCTGTCACGTGAGCGGCACCGTTCCTCGCGGGGTCGGTCGCTAAGGCAGTTGGTGGAAGTGTCGCTGGTTTACAGCGGGGCTCGCAGTGCACGTTGGGCAGGTAGGAGCTGGCAGCTGTACCGCGCTGGCCGGGAAAGAGGGTGGGGCACAGGGGGGGGC